TCCCTTGCCCACCAGCCATTTCTGTTCAGCCTCCATATTATTCCCTTCACGACAGTGGAAATCAGTGTTTTTGGATGCTGAATCCAGATAAACCCAGATAGAAAAAACAAATCTGACTTCACTTTTACTTTCTGTATGGACAGGATCCATTAGCATATTTTCCATACAACTAGGGGCTGTCAGGTGCCATGTTATTCACCACATGCATTATGCCTGTTTTCAGGGCATATTTTAATATCCTGGTAGCACAAAGGGAAAAGACTTAAACTGAAATGCTTGCTGTGTATTGTGGTTTAAACTTTCTGGTTGTCATGAAGACTGAGAACGTTAGCTTTCTTTTTTTAACTTTTTTTTTTTAATGTTAGCTTTCTACGTATATGCCATAGAATGAGCTCTCAAAAATTACCTAGAAAACTTAACTGAGCAGAAGAAACTTTGGGCAAAATTTTAAAATTTTAGCTCAATCTAGGCAGGGCCTCAGATACTTGATGATCACTGGCCATTTTAAATGATTAAATCTAGGCAATTGGGATGTCGCTGAAAAATCATCAAAACTACAAACATGCTGTAATAGTGAACAGGAGATAAGCTTTCTTTTCTGCTTCCACTAACATAAAAGAATTTAGATTTTTAAAAGTGTCTTGCCCCCAAATATGCCAGAATTCATGGAGAATCCGGATGGAGGCCCACAGCCTCGGCCTCCCTAGAGGCGGCGGGGGAGGCCGACATCCTCCCAGGAACGGCTCCATCCCGGCAGGTTCGGCGGCCGGTCACCCGTTTAATACAAACTCAGCAGCCAGCGCCGCCGCATCACCGGTCTGCGCAGGTCTGTCTTTTCCAAAGCACTCACTCTGGGAACCGAGCTCCTGACGTCTGGGCACAGCACCGGCCTTACTGACACACAGCGGGGCGGTTTCTGAAAACCATAAATGTGAAGTGTCATACTCTCAGACTTAATAGCCAGAGGACTTTGCCTTGTGTTCAAACAATGTTCTAGCTATTAGAATCAAAGTCCTGGAAAAAGACTTCAAGAAGTCTTCTGATATTTCTTTTCTGCCTAGTCTAAGATCAGATTGTAATTAAGTCTAATGGGAAGGTCATGGTTATTTAGACAGACTGAATTTTTAAAACCTCAATAAAATTACTTTTCTTATGATGATTAAAAAATTAGAGGGGGAGGAGAAGGGGGTTGGGGGGGAAGGGCCTGGGCCATCCTCTCCTTTTTAATCTCCACATGTTCGGGAAGCTCCATGTTTCCCTTCCCCAGCTTCTGTGCGTTGGGGGCTTTGAGATGAGGATCAGTGGGCTGAACACCTGTGTTTTTAGAGCATTTGTAGCTGTGGCGTGGTTTATAGTGTTCCTTACGTTTCATTACAGTCCAGCTAGACCAGCGGTTCTCAACATGGGGGTCGCGACCCCTTTGGCGGTCCAACGACCCTTTCACAGGGGTCGCCTAAGACCATCCTGCATATCAGATATTTACATTACGATTCATAACAGTAGCAACATTGCAGTTATGAAATAGCAACAAAAATAATTTTATGGTTGGGTCACAACATGAGGAACTGTATTTAAAGGGCCAGAAGGTTGAGAATCACTGAATTCTAGACTAATATATTCCGAAAGTTTGAAAGGGAAATCGATTAAGCTGTGCATGGGTTCTCTGATGTTTTACCAGCTCTCAGGTGAACGCCAATGGCACCCGTGCACGTGGACTGTGGCCATCTGCTGGTTTCCCTGTGCTGTAGAAATGCGTGTGTTTTTGACAGTGTTAGCTTGGTGTTAGGAGTGGCTCCTAATTCCTTTTCTCGTCTTTGTTCCTGTAGCGTTTCATTTATAGTTCTGTTCTACTTCTTGATTTTACTTTAACCCATTTTGCTTTCCACTGCAGTTATTTATGTACTCATGTCTGTGTCTCTCATTAGACAATAAGGACAGTATTTTGAAGGTCAAGCTGGTGGCTTGCACGCTGTGCTTGTCCTGGGGACTTCGGAAGTGTCTCAAATTAAAGTGCTTGGGATAGTTGACTTGGAGAAAACACCTTAGCCTGGTGACCAGCTTAACTATTTGAAAGATGCTGTGATGTGTGGCTCCAGGGGACAGACCCTGGATGGATGGAGAAAGGGTGAAATGAGGCAGAACTTTATTCCATATAAAGAAGGCCTTTCTAACCAGTAAGGTGTTTAAAATCACTAAGGGCTGCTTTGTAAGGTGGTGACTGTCTGCATTCAAAATTGACACCTGCAGTCAGACCCCAGGATGAAGGGGTACATTACAATAGGAAAATTTGATTTTGCATGAAAGGCGGCTGACATCGTATGATTTCTTGAATACCAGCATTTCTCTGTAGATTTAAAATAGTATTTCCTTTGCAGTGTTCACCTCAGAGTTGCTCACGGACACATCTTTGCACAGTGAGGTGCCGTTGCAGCGGATTGGGCCTCGGCTGAGCAGCATATGGCGCTCAAGTCTTCCATAACTGAAGGGGCTGATGCCTGTCCCAGTTTCCAGAGCAGCGTGTCTGTGAAAAACCTGTCCGTGTCCTATCGGCTTCCTTGCTCTTTAGCAGATGAGGTGGAAGCAATGCAGAGAGGCCACAAAAGCCCACAGGAACGGCTCCCACACAGGCCGCGCCCCCGAGTGCTCTGCTCCAGCCAGTGCCAATCCGCTGCAGAAAATCTGTCCCCAGTTGGCTTCTTGTTTTCTTTGTGTGCCTCCTTCTGTTGCACAGTATGCTTCCGACGAGGGATCAGGACTCTCAGAAAGATTCTGGGGAAATTCCAAGTGGATTATGGAGTTTTGAATGCTAATTCCCGTGTGGTTCATTGCTTCACAAAGTTAACGGGCTGGAGGTCCTGTCACCTCTTGCTGCGAATTCCTTCTAAGGCTTTGAAATAGGGGCTGTGGTTGAGGGGCTGAGTAAATAACACCTCTCTTCATTGTGTGAGCTATTGATTGACAAGGAAGGCCAAGACTAAAGCAGAGCCCGGCTGGTGTGGCTCAGTGGGTGAGCATCAACCTATGAACCAGGAGGTCCAGGTTACATTCCCAGTCAGGGCACATGCCCAGGTTTCTGGCTCGAACCCTAGTAGGGGGTGTGCAGAAGGCAGCCGGTCAATGATTCTCTCATCATCGATGTTTCTATCTCTTTCTCCCTCTCCCTTCCTCTCTGAAATCAATAAAAATATATTTAAAAAAATAATAAAGCAGGGTTTGGGGGATGTGGTGTGTTTCTTCAGGTAAGTGCACCTTGTTATAGGCTGCACTGCCAAATCAGACACAGCCGCCAGGCACTGGCAGGCCTCCCTGTGGGCAGAGCAGAAGGCATGACCTCTGAGGGTCACCCACTCCCAGGAGAAGGTGGGAAAGGAAGCCCTTGGGCTGTGCACGGTTCTCCTTCCAAATTTACCATTAGATTGGTCACTCCTTATCTCAAAGGAGGAATCAGAAACAGGGTAGAGAGGGCAGAGCGTGGCCAAGGGTGGCACATTGATGGTTATTCCTCCTCAAAGAAGGAACTATCCTCAGGGCAAAGACGCTTTCTCCTCCAGAAGGAAGTTATAAAATCTAGAGGGAGCACAACCGTTTAGTCCTGGTTGCAGTACTGCAAGATGATCTGGACTGCAGGGTTTTGGTGTGGCGAGATAGGAAAAGTCAGGGAAGTGGTATGGTCCCAACCTGGAGAATGGCTGCTGTTCTCCCATGGGGAGAGGTGGGAAGGACTAACATCAGCAGGTCCTTGGTTGAGGCTTGCAGGAAAGCTCTGGCAGGAGCGTCCTCAGCCAAGGTTTTCCCTTTTACTCTCCCTGCTCCTGCCTGTAGGGTGACTATGGTTTGCGCTCCAGCAGCCCTCCCAAAACCTAGAGGGAAAGGCCAAGGACATCACAGGGGCCTCGGCCCTGACTTCCCCGAGGGATGGGGGAAGTGGGGAATGGGGGATGAATGCTGAAGGGAAATGTGAGGGGGCTTCCTTTTGGGGTGATGGGAATGTTGTGCAATTAGCTACTGGTGATGGTTGCAAAACTGTGACTCTACTAAATATCACTGTATAGTTAGTATACTTTGAACACTTTAAAAGGGGGTATTTAATATTATATGAATTATATCTCAATTTTTTGAAAAGTCTCACACACACACACACAAAAAGGAATGCAAAATACTCTCAGGTGCTGCTGGTGCTGCTGGTCCATGGACCGCTCTTGGAGCAGGAAAAAGCCGGACCAGATGTTTCCAATTTCTGTTTACTTCAGTTGCATGCGCTTATTTTTCATGATGCTAACCTAACAGCAGGCAGCGCTCTTCACTGTTGAGGAGCTCAGAGGGGAATGTGCACAGTGCAGCAGTGACCAAACCTTCAACTCTACTGGGCCTTCCAGGATCGTCTCACTCTTAGGGTAAACCACTGCACACGGGCCCACAGTTGTGCTGTTTTCTCTCCTGTGTTCTCTCTCTCTTCTACATGGTGTGAAAATTTTCTTGAGTTTTCTGGCACTTCCTTTTATATCTGCTAGCTAATGTCTTTCCCTCCATCTATATAACAGATTCCCTTTCAGATCGTTACTTCCACTCATCATTCCTCCACCTTTTATATGTAGCATTTAAAATATTTTTATAGCCCTACAAAAATTCCGTTTGTGAGGTTATCTTGTCTTTATTGCTTTACTACTCTTTTTCTTTATATTCTTTTGGTGCTACAATACACTATCATCAGGAAACAAATGAGATTTCTTATTATAAATCCACTTACAGAATTACATAAAATTACCTAACCCACTGAATCCTTCTGTATTTTCTTAACCAGGCTCAATTGTTGTATATTGAAGCAGTATCTTTTGCCTGATTCATCCCCTGTGATTTCCTGAGTTTTTTCTTCTATTTTTTTTTCAAATGAGATATAATTTGAATTCAGTAACATTCACCTCTTTTAAAAATAATTTTATTGATTTCAGAGAGGAAGGGAGAGGGAGAGAGAGAGCTAGAAACATCAATGATGAGAATCATAGATCAGCTGCCTTCTGCATGCCACACACTGGGGATCGAGCACTCAATCCAGGCATGTGCCCTGACCGGGAATCGAACCATGATCTCCTGGTTCATAGGGCAGAGCTCAACCACTGAGCCACACCGGCTGGGCTAACATTCACCCTTTTTAGTGAACAGTTTTATGGGGTTTGAAACATGCAGACAGTCATGTAACCACCGCAGTGGAGATATACAGAGTGCTGTCATCATCCCCCAGAGTTCCCTGGTGCCCTTTGCAGCGCTCCTCTCTCCCCTCCCAACCCTTTGCAACTGATGTTTCTTGTCCCTGTAGTTTGCCTTTTCCAGAAGGTGGAATTAACATTAAAACAGAAACATTTTATTACATTTCAACTTGGATTTAGTCCTTGTCTTTAAAGAAGAAATTCTAAAAGCTGAGGATAGGTAAATGTTACGTCAAATATACTCAACTGACCTTGTAATAAGCATTTGATTTTAGTTAGCATTTTAAAATAGACCAAATATACTGTTTGGCATTTTATGATACTTTGAATGATATATTCAGATTACTAATTTTTCCCAAAAGTGATCTTCCCTTTATCTTTTTATTTTAAAAGAAAATAAATATTTACAACACATTTGAATATATTCAGACATTAAAAATTTTGTTCATTTCATTTACTTACTATTGAATAAAACAGGTGAAAATTAAGTTAGGAAATATATGATTTTTTTAAAGGTAGACAAGCTGACTTTATTTTTATCTTTCTTTTATACAGGTGTCTGCTTCAGAATGGTAAGTCAATATAATCTGCTTTTGGTGGTGGTGGGGGGGTGGTCCTTTTTTTTTCTCCACAGTTATTTCTAATCACAAATATAGAGCAGCTTTCTACTTAGTGCTGGTCTACTGCTTATTTCCCATCCTTGACAGCAAATAAAAATGTATTTTTTATTTCTTCACATACAAATTACTGGTTGAGGTTTTTATGAGAGCTGTCTTTACAAAGTAGTCTATTAAAAACATTACAGCATTCTTAGCCTTTAGCTAATATTTCCTATGAATTTCAAAATACCTCTCTTGAGGTGGTTAAGTTAAACCTTCTGATTAGGTATATTAATACAATATGGGATCTTCCACTTGTTCTGGATGGGAGAAACCCTCTACCCAAGGGCATGTGTCTCAAATTGCATAACGAAACATGCTCATGTTGGGTAAGGTAGTGGTCCCCAGGTTTCTAGAAGTTAAAACTACTTGTTGCCTTTAAAATATTGATTTTGTTATTATACTCCTTTCCTAAAAGTTAAATGCTACTTGTATTTTCACCGACTTATCTGAGCTGGCAGACCCTAGATTAGATCTCTCTGTTCCTAACCTCTGAGTACTCTAACAGGCCCCACCTATACGCCTCCACATTTTGACATAGTTGTATCCTCTACGATCAGATTGTCTCTTTTTTGTTATTACCTATGAGAGCTTGACTTACTTTCAGAACCAGCTCGTACATCAACCCTTGATGGTTCTTTCTTTCCCTTCCTCTCTTTCTCTAAAAATAAATTTAAACAAAATTAAAAAAAATATTTCCAGGTTTTTATTTGCCAGTAGCATAAGTGAATTTGGAACCAGGAAAAGGACTTAAAAAACACACAACCTATAAAGAATAATAGGAAGCCCTAGCTGGTTTGGCTAATTCCAGGAAAAGGACTTAAAAAACACACAACCTATTAAGAATAATAGGAAGCCCTAGCTGGTTTGGCTCAGTGGGTAGAGCATCAGTCTTCGGACTGAAGGGTCCTGGGTTTGATTCTGGTCAAGGGCATATGCCCAATTTGTGAGCTCGATCCCCAGAAGAGGGAGGGCAGGAGGCAGCTGGTCAATGATTCTCTCTCATCATTGATGATTTACATCTCCCTCCCTCTCCCTTCCTCTCTAAAATCAATACAAATATATTTTTTAAAAAAAGAATAATAAGAAAAATAAATTTACCTAGAGAAGTATAACATTTGTTATAATTCAGAAAGCAACAGAATATTTTAACCCAGTACTTTCTATTGCTTATAACTGGATATTTTCCTCAGTGATTGAGAATTTTAGAGTGGTCATCATTAGAAACCCAGGTTAACAATGCACTTTTGTGTTAGCTGATGCAAGGGAATGCAACTGAATTTTATTAATCCCCAAACACATCATAAAAACTGTGTTTTGAAGTAATTCCCAGGATCAGTTTCTTTTCTCACAGCATCCTTGTCTTTACTGAAAGTGGAATTTAACAAAAATTCTACTTAAGTGAAGTTTGTTATAAATAGAGGTATTAATTACTGTTGGTCAGTTGTATAATTTTAGGAAGAAATTACCAGCTTAGTGCTTTTTGAATGTTAGAATCAAGTGTTATAAATTCTGACTTTTGATGATGGACTTTCTTTCTCTTGTTTTCTCCTGAAACCAGTACACAGAAGGTGAGGCTAAGAAAATAGGAGTGGTTGGCTGGGTGAAGAATACCAACAAAGGCACTGTTACAGGTCAAGTTCAAGGCCCTGAAGAGAAAGTCAACTCCATGTAAGTAGCAAGACTAATAACACACTCATGCCATTTATGAACTCATTTTAACGTTTCATTGGATAATAGGAATATAGTATCGATGTGCCAAATTCGGTTTGTAGATTATAACTAAACTGACATGCTTTTAGGCAGACCAACAAAGAAATTCTCAGAATTGGGGATGGAATTTCTGCATTTAGGAATGGATTTCCCACGTGGACAGGCTCTCAAAAAGATCAATGGCACCACTCTCCAATCTCTATGAATTGTGTTTTAATTCTTCTCTGACATGTGGGAAATATCCAGGATCCACGTATCTCTCATCTGAAGTGGTTGTGATAGAAGCATATGCCTTAAGATGCTTGAAGTTCTTTCCCCCCAATATATTTTATTGATTTCAGAGAGAAAGAGAGAGGGAGAGAGAGATAGAAACATCAGTGATGAGAGAGAATCACTGATCAGCTGCCTCCTGCATGCCCCCTACTGGGGATCAAGCCTGCTACCCAGGCATGTGCCCCTACTGGAAATCAAACTGTGACCTCCTGGTTCATAGGTCAGCATTCAACCACTGAGCACACCAGCCAGGCTTGAAGTTCTTAAAGTAGCCTTCAAGGCAAAAAAGATTATCATCTCCTTTTTATTGTTTAAATATATTTAAAAAAATCTAATTGTGGAGCATTTGAGGTCTTGCTCCCAGTATGTCATCAGTTTGGCTGAAATAAACTCATAAAAATTCTAAAAAAAAAATCTAATTATAATTTTATTTTTACTATCAGTGAAAGTATGTTTAATGAGCTCTATGGTTATCATAATATGAATCCTTGCCCACCAAAGGAGACCAAATTCAGAAATACAGGAAAAAGTACCCTGTCATTTTCAAAGGCCTTATCTTTTCAGGTTTGTAAATTCCACCTGTCTGCAGTCTTTGTAAAAAATAAATAAATAAATAGCTAACATTTATTGAGCATATGCAATATGTTAGGCAGTATGCTAAACACTTTATATAGATTATCTTATGTAATTTTACAAGGATCTTATGAGGGAGGTGCTAATTAATACCCAATTTATTTTCTTTTATTATTTGCAATTTATCTTTGTTTTCACTGCTTAATATTTTCAGATTTAAAAAGCAATGCTTTTTTTGTTTATTGTAATAGGTGAAATGGTAAGATACAGAGAGGTTAAAGGAAAGCTGATAATCTGCCCCTTCCCCTCTGCTTCCTTCCCTTTGGGTGACCTGTGCCAACTTTCTGAAGCTTTCACTTTCATTTAAAAGAATTTAAGCTTGGCCAGTGTAGCTCAGTGGTCAGAGTGTTAGCCCGTGCGCCACAGGGTCTCGGGTTCGATTCCTGGTCAAGGGCATGTACCGGGTTGCAGGTTGGATGCCCAGCCCCAATCAGGGCGTGTGCGGGAGGCAACCAGTCGATGTGTCTCTCACATTGATATTTCTTTCTCTCTCTCCCCCACACCCTCCCTCCCTTCCATTCTCTCTAAAAATCAATGGGAAGAATATCCTCAGGTGAGGATTAAGCATAAAAAAAGTATTTAGGCATACATTTATAATTAAGGTTTGGTGGCTTTTACTGAAATAGGATACTTAGTGCATATTTTTCTGTAATTAGTTTTGTCGTTATATGGACATTCATCAGTAAATGTATAACTACCAACTCCTTATTTTTCTAATTTCTTTATTTATAGGTACTTACTTGTGCTTGTGTATAAAACTGCACCCCAACTTGAAAAGTGGGGTCCAAAAATTCAATTTTATTAAATGTTAATGGAAAACAATATTTTTGGGTAGGATTGTCACAACATGCACAAAAGATTGTAAGACTTAATATAGGATTTAATATTGTAGAGGACTAATAGTTCACTGCACAAGGAAATGCCAAATGACTAGGAGGGAGACTGAGGATGGGGACTATGTGGAGGCGGGACATTCATGCCAATTATGTTATTTCCTAATCCATGTTGTAGCAGGTTTCTGATTAACATCAGTGCAATCGTATTATACATTCTGCTCATTTTTTCCTTCCCACCCCCTGCGCATCCCTGCCCCTCCCCCCTCACACTACCAGTAATCTGTGCTGGCGACCCGGTGCATTTTCTTCTGTATTTGTCTCCATGTTCACCTTTCATGCTCACGCGCCTCACACACTCACACACACACATACCTCTGGGTTGTGATCAATGTTTGTTTTTTAAAAATGGGATTATTGTATATGCACTTCTCTATATCTCACTTTTATCATTAAAAAATACACCCAGAAAAACTTCTCCAAGTCAAATGGTATAGCTCTAATCTATTCTTTTTAATAGCTGCTTATAATTCTACAGTATAAATGTACCATTATTTATTACCTTATTGTTGGGAACTCATTTTGTTTCCTCATGTTTTTTTGTTTTTGTTTTTGTTTTGACCATAAGACCAATACATAATAAACATTTTATTGGTTACTTTATTTTTATGGGATAGATTCCCAGGAGTGTGATTTGTTGGTTGAAGTGTCTGTGTACTGTTAACTTAAAAATATTTGTCAGATTGCTTTCAAAACAGTTCTAAACAACAGTTCTAAACAAATTACATTATTTTTCTCTTTATCTTGTCAGTAATTTTTCTTTTATCTGATTGGGGATAGAGTAATATATGACTTTTTACTATTATTTGCATTTTTAACTTTTATAAACTCAAATATGGCTCTCTTTTCTTTCTGGTTAATAAACAGACTGTAAAAGTTGTTTCCTAGGTTTCCGTCTAACTTTTTTGATGCTTTATTTATTACATTGCTTATTTACTCCATCTGGAATTTGTTTTTATTTTATGAGATTGGGGACTGACTATATTCTACCAGATGGATAGCCAGCTGTGCCAGCACTGTATTAAATAAT